TTGTGAGGCTTGGGTACCAAGGTTTTTGTGGCCTCATAAAAAGAGTTTGGCAATGAACCTTCTGTTTCTATATTGTGGAACAGTTTGAGGAGTAGTGGTATTAGTTCTTCCTTGAATGTCTGGTAGAATTCTGCGCTGAATCCATCTGGCCCTGGACTTTTTTTGGTTGGAAGGCTTTCGATGACTGCTTCTATTTCATTGCGGGTTATAGGTCTATTTAAGTTGTTTGTCTGTTCTTGATTTAATTTTGGTAGGTGATAGTTATCCAGAAATTTGTCCATTTCCTTTGAATTTTCAATTTTTGTGGAATACAGATTTTCAAAGTATGACCTGAAAATTGTCTGGATTTCCTCTGTGTCTGTTGTTATGTTCCCCGTTTCGTTTCTGATTTTGTTAATTTGCATGTTCTCTCTCTGCTTTTTCGTTAATTTGGGTAAAGGTTTGTCTATCTTGTTGATTTTTCTCAAAAAAAACCAACTCTTCATTGCATTGATTTTTTTTTTTTTTTTTTCCTGGTTTCTATTTTGTTGATTTCAGCCCTCAAGTTAATTATTTCCTGGCATCTACTCCTACCGGGTGAATTCGCTTCTCTCTGTTCTAAGGCTTTCAGTTGCTCTGTTAATTCTCTTATATGACTATCCTCTATTTTCTTCATATGGGCACTTAGTGCAATGAACTTCCCTCGTAGCACTGCTTTTAAGGTGTCCCATAAGTTCGGGTATGTTGTATCCTCATTCTCGTTGAATATTAGAAAGTCCTTAATATCGTTCTTTATTTCTTCTTTGACCCAGGAGTGGTGCAATTGCACATTGTTCAGTTTCCATGAGTTTGCAGGTTTTCTGCTATTGTGTTGTTGTTGAATTCCAATTTTAAAGCATGGTGGTCCTATAAGACACAGGGGACTATTCCTATTCTCTTGTATCTGTTGAGGTTTTTATGCCACCTAGTATGTGGTCGATTTTAGAGAAGGTTCCATGTGGAGCAGAGAAGAAGGTATATTCTTTTGTCTTTGGATGGAATGTTCTATAGATGTCTGTTAACACCAGTTAAGACATAACTTCTGTTAATTCTTTTGTTTCTTTGTTGAGTTTCTGATTTGTGGTCCTATCTAGTGTTGAGAGTGGTGTATTGAAGTCTCCCAACTATAAGTGTGTGAGGTTTCATATGAGCTTTGAGTTTTAGTAGTGTTTCTTTTACGAATGTGGGTGACTTTGTATTATGGGCATAGATGTTCAGAAGTGAGACTTTGTGTTGATGGATTTCTCCTGCGATGAATATGAAATGACCGTCTTCATCTCTTTTGGCTGATTTTGGTTTGAAGTCTAACTTGTTAGATATTAGGATAGCTACGCCTGCTTGCTTCTTATTTCCATTTGATTGGAAAATCTTTCCCCAACCCTTTACCCTGAGGTAATGTCTATCTTTGAAGCTTAGATGTGTTTCTTGTATGCAGCAGAAGGATGGATTCTGTCTTCGCATCCATTCTGTTAGCCTGTGTCTTTTTATAGGTGAGTTAAAACCATTAATGTTGAGGGTGAGTAAGCACCATTGATTGTTGATGCTCGTTTGATTTAGGTTTGTTGTTGGTAGTGGTATTGTGAATATATTAGTTCTGCTTTACCCTTGGTTTCTGGTGTAGTTGGATTATCTGTTGCCTACATTTTTGTGGGCGTAGTTATCTTCCTTGGGTTGGAGTTTTCCTTCCAATACTTTCTGTAGGGCTGGATTTGTAGATACGTATTGGGAAAATCTGGTTTTGTCATTAAATATCTTGTTCTCTCCATCTATAGTGATTGAGAGTTTTGCTGGATACAGTAGCCTAGGCTGGCATCTGTGTTCTCTTAATACATTTAGAACATCTATCCAGGACCTTCTGGCCTTGAGGGTTTCCAGGAAGTCAGGTGTAATTTTGATAGGTGTGCCTTTTTATGTTACCTGTCCTTTTTTCTTCGCTGCTCTTAATATTCTTTCTTTAGTTTGTGTGTTATATGGGTGTTTTGTTTTTTTTTTTTTGGGGGGGTTTTTTTTGTGGGGCCCCCCTTGTGGGGGGGGGGGGGCGTTGTTTTTTCTTTGTGGGCCCCCCCCCTTTTTTGTTGAGAAAGTTTCCCCGTTGTTTTTGTTGAATATTTTTTTGCCCCCTTGGGGCGGGGTCCCCCCCCTTCCCTCTCCCCTTTTTTTTTTTTTTTTCCCTTTTTCCCGGTTCCCAATATTTCCTAAATTTTTGGTTTTAGGTTTTTTTGGATTTATAATTTTTTTTTATTTTTAAATTTTTTTTTTTCTTTTTTTTTTTCCGCCCTTAAATTTCTTTTTCCCTTCTTTTTTTTTGTTGGTTTTGTGTGTGTGTGTCTGTAGTTGCCGATTTTTTGCCCAGCTTTTCTATTTCCAGCATTTCTTCAGTTTGTGTTGTCTTTATTTTCTCTATTTCAGTTTTCAAGTCTTGAACTGTTTCCTTCACCTGCTTAATTGTTTTTTCCTTGGCTTTCTGTACTTTCCTTAAGGAATTTGTTCATTTCTTAAACTTTTTTGTTTGTTTTTTCCTCCATTTCTTTAAGGGATTTTCTCACATCTTCTTTGAGGGCCTCTATTTTGATGTTAATTTTTAAGTCATTCCCTTCTGCTTCCTCTGCTTTGTTGTTGTGTTCCATTCTGTTTGGTGTAGATTCCCTAGATTCTGGTGGTGTCATTTTTGTCTTTCTGTTGTTAGGTGTTTTCTTGTATTGCCTTCTTCCCATAGCTTCTTCCAGTAGGTGTTGGTGGGGTCTCCCCCTCTCTATTTGGTAGTTCCCCGGTGGGCTTATGTGGGTCTGAGATTCAATATCTGTAGCTCTGTGTGGTCCAAGCTCTCTAGGAGGTTTCTCTGCAGACAGGGACCCAGGGATGGGGTCAAGGATGAGGATCCAGTAGAAGATACCAGCAGGTACTCACAGTGGTCCTGCAGAGATAGGCGGATCTCTGGGAGGGGCCAGGGACTCCAGCAGAGAACTGGAGGCAGGGTCAGAGACCAAGCAGATAGAAATTACGGGTGGTCCCGTGTGGATAGGCAGGTCTCCTTTGTTCAGAGTTGCTCTGAGAAGTCTCTGAAGTAGGGTTGACTGTTGGCTCCACCCTCTGTCCCAGTGCTCAACCAGAGCGGCAGGACCGTAGGTAGGGTAGGGCACAGGGTAGGGGGGTAGGCTGGCGGTGGGGATGGGTGGGGGTGTATCAGAGCTCCAAGGGTGCTCTCAGTGGGGACAGGAGACAGGAGCAGCAGGATCAGGGGCCAACCCAGGGAGTTCGGGCAGGGGGAGGGGGGAAGAGGTTGTAGGGGACAGCAGCCCCGATTGGGCCCAGACTCACCTCTGGCCAATAGCTGGCGGAAGAAGACAAGGGCTGAGCTGGAACTTGGGAAGGTTTTGCAGGATAGTCGGATCTCACTGGAAACTGGAACTCTCCAGCTGAGGCCTCTTTCTTTAGCAGAGGCCAGGATTTTGTAAGTCATTTTCTATTCTGAATATTTGAAGTTGTTCCTGGAGGCCGGTTAGGTAGCACACACTCACACTAGCGGGGGGGGGGGGGGGTGTCTAATGTTTTTTTTTTGTTGTTGTTGTTTTTGTTTTTTTTTTTTTTTTTTTTTTTTGTCCATCTTGGAGCTAAACTGATTCAAAGTGCTTTGATTTGAAGATGAATCATCAAATTTACTTTCTGATTTTTTTTTTTCCCCCAGACAGGGTTTCTCTGTGGCTTTGGAGCCTGTCCTGGAATTTGCTCTGTAGACCACGCTGGTCTCGAAAGCAGAGATCCGCCTGCCTCTGCTTCCCGAGTGCTGGGATTAAAGGCATGCGCCACCACTGCCCTGCCAGATTTACTTTCTTAGGAGGTGTCTTTAGGAATGTGTCCTCTGGCCCTTAAGTAAGTGAAACTTAGGTGCTGTCTTTGCCTGGGTACCTTTTGAGAACACATTGGGCTTCAGTAGCGTCTGAAGTTACCCATCTTTCACAGCACAAAGAGCAGGTCAGACTATAGGATGAAGGTCTCTTTTCCTCTCTCAAGCTTTCCTTCCTGTGCACCATAATTGCCTTTCTGCTCTGCTGTGTGACAGTAGGAATGGTGTGAGGCAGCAGAGACTCATCTCCTGCCATGCACTTAGTGACCTCGAGTCCAATTCTAGAAGCATAGCACACAGCCTCATTCACTGCTTAAGGAACCAGGGACACTCATGCTTGTGATGCGCAGTTGAAAGTCTTGAGTGAGCATTAAATAAAATGGAGTTGACACTTTTTTTTTAAATTGTTTTCTGCAGCTTTTCCAAGATCAGAATCCAGGATGGTATGGCTGTAGACCAGCTTGTAATTGTGACGTGTGCGTGTTTGGGGAATGTGCCCCTGAGTGCAGGCGCTCCTGGAGGCCCAAAGCTTCAGATCCTCCAGGGGCTGTGAGCTGCTGATGTGGGTGCTGGGAATCAGCTTACATCACACTTGTAAAACAGCAAATGTAAAGACAGTATGGGCTAAAAAGGAATTTTACAGGTGTACACGGAAAATGTTGGGCAGGACAAATAAAGGAGCAACTGTCATTCTCCATAGAGCATGGCAGCTTTCGCGGCAAATGAGATGTTTGAAGTAGCTAGAGCTCTGTGACACAGTTACAGCATTCTTTTGTTTATATTTTCTTCATTGCCGCAGAGTACTTCATTCCCAACGCCTGTGAGCACCTGCATCTTCCTTCTCACAGTTAAAGGATGGGAAATCTGCAGCGAATTCTTCATAACCATTAGTTCAAAACAGTGGTCTTTTGTTTCTTTCCTGCATCTTCATAAAATTTAAAGTTGGATCAGGTACGGTGGCACACGCCTTTAATCCCAGCACTCAGGAGGCAAAGGCAGGTGGATCTCTGAGTTTGAGGACATCCTGGTCTACAGAGTGAGTTCCTGGACAGCCAGGGTTACACAGAGCAACCCTGTTCAAAAAGAAAAAGGGGGCGGATGTTGGGCTTTTCTTAACTGTATCTACTATGCAGTGTCTGTATGATGCCTGACAAGTAGGGCTAAAACTTCATATGCAAATGTTGGATGAGTGTCCCACAGTCATTGACTTTCCAGGACTTTCTGTGTCATTGTAGATCCCTGGGTCAGGCCAGGTCCTTCATAACACAACCAAGTTCTGCTTGTCAGCTCTACTCAGAGGCTCCACGTGCTCACCCGAATCCTGAGGAAACCTGAGACCTAGAGAGACACCACAGAGGACATGTCTGCTGATGTGAATTTCTGCCAGAAGCCCCAGAAACTGGAAGCAGAAGAGCAGGATGGGTTATGTGAGGTGAGGTTCTGTTCTCCAGAACTAGTGTAGACATTGGAAGTGCCAGATTGCAAGCTCTCTTCCTGAGGCGACCTCCATTCTCAGGCTGAGAGTGAAGCCCAGAGGGCTGAGAGGCCAGCCTTTCCTCACCCTGGCCTGACATGCTCCTTGTGCTGCTTCCTGGGTTTAGGTTTGTCTGCCCATCTGTGACTTCCGGGGGAGTCCTGCTTCTATTCAGCCCGGATAGAGGGGACTGGCAGGGCAGAGAAGTAGGTACGACCAAGTCTAGCTTGGTGAGCCAGAGATTATTTTGGCTTGATTATGGGGTCACAGATGAGGAGTGGCCTCCAGAGGCATGAACAATTTGAGCAGTTGTGTTACTGCCCTCCAGCGATGATGGTTTGTGAGAGCTGCATCTCTAAATCATCCCCCGCCCAGCTGTGTCTAGTGATGACCTGTGGATTGTCCACACTCTCTCTCTTCTGGGAAAATGGTGTTCTATCCTACTTCAAGCATCTTATTTACAGTTTAAGCTGCTGTGCTCTACAGAGCAGAACAGCTCCTCCTTACTTTGTCCCTCCCTACATTTTCTGTGTGTATTTGTAAAATGCTCCTTTGTAGCCCCTGCTGAGATGACATTTGTTGTTTTACCAACTAAGAGTAGAAGTTCATACTGTAGCATTGGACCCCAGGAACCCCATACAACTCTAGACAAGTATAATATAGCTTAATAGCTGTCGTCCGGCTTAAATTTAGTGGAGAAAGTCTGTCCTCCATGGGGGTAGGCGAGACGTAGTATACAGTGCACGACAGGGTATTTTTATGTACTGTCTTTCACATTATATATTGATTTCACATTTCATGCCTGAACATAAAATGTGAAATCAGTATTTTTGTGGTACTTCCTGGGGGTGGGTACTTCCTGGGGGTGGGTACTTCCTGGGGGTGGGAGGGGAATCACTAAAAACATGGCTACTTACTGTATTTTTCTGTTGTTGCAGAGATTGGTGTCCTTTGAGGATGTGACTATGAACTTCAGCCAGGAGGAGTGGCAGCACCTGAACTCTTCCCAGAGACGCCTGTACCAGGACGTGATGCTGGAGATCTACAGCCACCTCTTGGCAGTGGGTGAGCACAGCTGGCCTGGGGAGCCAGGATGGGTCTCGTATTTTTCTCTTCACAAAACTTGATGGAATATCAGAACTCTGTCCTGACTTCTTAGTTGTGTGGCCGCTGCTCCACTCCATTGGCACCTTTTATGTGTGACTTAATGTTGACTTTTGCAGTTAGCCAGTACAGAGTTCATTGGATACCCTGTGAAACCTAAGAGGATGCAACAAATCCAGTATCCTTGTAATTCACAGGGTATCCCAGGCCAGAGGCCACCCTCAAGATGAAGAAAGTTGATTGCCCACATCAGCGGTGTCTGTGCCAAGGTGAGTGACTGTTACAGGTGGAGGGAGATCGCTGAGAGGCGTAAGCAGCCTACTGACTTACTCACCCCCTCAGTAGTGGGCACCTAGATCGCCCCCACTCCCAGTTTTCGTAGTAAACACTGTACTGCATGTTATTGTGAGCCTGCAATAGGGACAGAAAGATGGTTACTGGATATATGCTTGTTTCCTTCTAATGATCTGTACAAGTTCACAGTTCATGTTTGGAAATCATGAAACAAAGAAGTCACACATGGATTTCTTGTTTGTGCATCTTAGTTGTCAAAAGTTAACATTATCAATGTGGTTTATACATTACTTGTGTAATGAGTAAAAGAAATGTTTCCTTGTTTTAGTATTCTAGAGTATGAGAGAGAGAAAGAGAGAGAGAGAGAGTGTGTGTGTGTGTGTGTGTGTGTGAGAGAGAGAGAGAGAGAGAGAGAGAGAGAGAGAGAGAGAGAGAGAGAGAGAGAGAGAGAGTTTGTGTGTTAGAAAAGGCCTGGAGAGTGCTAGAGTTACAGGTGGTTATGGACACCCATATGAGGGCGCTGGGAACTGAACTTAGGTCCTCTGGAAGAGCAGCAGGCACTCTTAACCACTGAGCCATCTATCTCTCCAGGCTCTCCTGTGATATGTTTTCATAATTATTTTCAGCATCTTATTATATGTGTCATGTAAATACATTTTCATGTATATATATTTTTGTATGTTTCATCATTCTTTGGTCACCCCATTTATTTCAGGCTTCATCAGGGTTTGTTTTTCATCCTGGATCTTTTGTGTCCTAATTATGGCACCACCGTATTCCTATTTTACATGTTCTCATGTACGCATTCCTTACTATGTTTTTGAATATATATTTATGTTTCTGGATGTGCACTTGTCACTCACCCCTGTGGAGCTCTGAGGACAACTTGCAGGGAGTCACTTCTCTCCTAGAGATCAAACTCAGATCATCAGGTTTGCTGGCAAGCTCTTGTGGTTCACATGAAGTAGCCTCATGGAAGTTGATTTGGGAGGCACGTGAACTGGTTATTCATAAAGTAATTTTGAATTGGAATAAAAGACCAGACAAAGCAAAGTTAGTTGAGTTAAAGCAATGTTTTTCAACCTTCCTAATGCTGTGACTTTAATACAGTTCCTCATGTTGTGGGGACCCCCAACCATAAAATTATTTATGTTGCTACTTCATTTTTCTACTGTTATGAATCATAATGTAAATATCTAATATGTAGGATATTTGAATGACCCTGCATGACCCACAGTGAGAGCCACTGAGTTAGAGGCTATGAATAAAGGCTCAAAGTTAGGAGTCATTGACCATTTTTATGTTGAGGTTGTTGAGATGTAGTGGAGAAATAGAATTTATTTTAAAACGTATTTATTTTTATGTTATATGTATGAGTGCTCTGCCTGCATGTATGCCTGTGTACCATGTGTGTGACCTGGTGCTTGCAGAGCCATAAGAGAATGTTGAATCCCCTGGAACTGGAGTTATAGGTGATTGTGAGTGCTGTGGGTGCTGGGAGCCAAACTCAGGTCTTCTGCAAGAGCAACAACTGTTCTTAACCACTAAGCCTTCGTTTCATCCCAGTATTGGCAATTTGTGGATAAGCTTTTCAGAATCTCTGTGGGGCAAAGTTTATAATATTCCAGGTGGACGCTGAAGGTTGACAATAGAGCATCAAAAGGAAAAGTCATAGCAGTAGTGTGTAAAATTGGCATTTGAGAATTTGTTACTTCCGTACTAAGGGATGGGAATGGGAGGACAATAGTCATTGTCTAGGTCTACCATTCAGTGTAGCCAAAAATGTGTCCTCCACATTCAGTGAGTGTGTTTCAGAGAAACTAAGGTGCTGTGCTATTGAGATGTCTCATGAGTGACGTGAGATGTCTCAGTGAGTGAGTGACGTGAGATGCCTCAGTGAGTGAGTGACGTGAGATGTCTCAGTGAGTGAGTGTAGTGAGTTTTCTCAGTGAGTGAGTGACGTGAGATGTCTCGGTGAGTGAGTGACGTGAGATGTCTCAGTGAGTGAGTGACGTGAGATGTCTCAGTGAGTGAGTGACGTGAGATGCCTCAGTGAGTGAGTGTAGAGAGTTTTCTCAGTGAGTGAGTGACGTGAGATGTCTCGGTGAGTGAGTGACGTGAGATGTCTCGGTGAGTGAGTGACGTGAGATGCCTCAGTGAGTGAGTGTAGAGAGTTTTCTCAGTGAGTGAGTGACGTGAGATGTCTCGGTGAGTGAGTGACGTGAGATGTCTCAGTGAGTGACGTGAGATGTCTCAGTGAGTGAGTGACGTGAGATGTCTCGGTGAGTGAGTGACGTGAGATGTCTCGGTGAGTGAGTGACGTGAGATGTCTCGGTGAGTGAGTGACGTGAGATGTCTCGGTGAGTGAGTGACGTGAGATGTCTCGGTGAGTGAGTGACGTGAGATGTCTCGGTGAGTGAGTGACGTGAGATGTCTTGGTGAGTGAGTGACGTGAGATGTCTCGGTGAGTGACGTGAGATGTCTCGGTGAGTGACGTGAGATGTCTCAGTGAGTGAGTGACGTGAGATGTCTTGGTGAGTGACGTGAGATGTCTCGGTGAGTGAGTGACGTGAGATGTCTCGGTGAGTGAGTGACGTGAGATGTCTCGGTGAGTGAGTGACGTGAGATGTCTCAGTGAGTGAGCGTAGTGAGATGTCTCAGTGAGTGAGTGATGTGAGATGTCTCAGTGAGTGAGTGACGTGAGATGTCTCAGTGAGTGAGTGACGTGAGATGTCTCGGTGACTGAGTGTAGTGAGATGTCTCTGAGTGAGTGACGTGAGATGTCTCGGTGAGTGATGTGAGATGTCTCGGTGAGTGGTATGATTATTGAGTGGTGATAAGGACCTGAGTCTGTGCTCTGGCTCCCATAGAAAAGCCTGTGTGCCTGTAACTCCTGCACTGGTGGTAGGATGTCAAGGGCCTGGTAGACAGGTCAGCTGAGATAGTGAACTCTTGATTCCATGAGACACCCTGTCTCAAAAAAATAACTAATAAATGAGGAGCAATAGAGAAAGATGTCAGAGTTGGTCTCTGACTTCACTGTGTACATGCAATGCTGAGCGCACAAATACCACACACAGTAAGTTGGAGAACCATAAAAGAAAGATACTTAAAATCTACTTTCTGTCTCCACAAGTGTACACACAGGTTAACATACCCATATACCCAGTCACATAAGAAATACACACACAAAAATTGGGCAGTTTAGGAGGTGGCTCGACTGGTAAAGGGCTTGCTATGTAAGTATGAGGACCTGGGTTCAATCCCTATCAGTCCCATAAAAACCGAGCACAGTGGCTCACTCCTGAAATCCCAGGGCTGGGTTGGCAGAGACGAAGGACCCCTGAGGCTTTCTAGCAGCCAGTCCAACTGAACTGGTGATTTCCAGATTCACTGGCTGACCTTGTGTCAAGACGTAAGGTTGAACGTGACTGAAGAAGACACTGAACCTTTGGCTCCACACGCGTGAGTGAACATGTACACCTGTGAACACACACATGTTAAACAGAAATAAGACACAAACATAAAAAACTGGGGTGTAAAATTCACGAGGAAGGGCTTGAGAACATGGGTGAAGTGTGTAGCTGTAGCTAGTCCTTACAGAGGGAAGGAAAAATTTACCAGGTGAGAAAATGGTCAAAGGCTTTTCTCTAGAGCTAATGACCCCGTCTTCTGATGCTGACTGTCCATCAACAATACCAGTATTGGCCATGTCTGTTTTCTCCCATACTTACGTATCCTTCTGTATGACAGGCCTCTTGCATAAGTTGGTTGTCCTTCACCAAACCAAGTCTTCCCAACAAATTATCTAAGTCGTCTTGTCTACTGACTGATGCTACTGTTTCCTCATGAGGAAAACGTATAGGCACATTGGGAGATGGTTGTGAGGATTAGATGAGCTCATGTACTCACTTCATAGTGTCAGGTGTTCTGTGTTGCATGAGTCAGTCAAAGAAAGAGGTCACTCCAGGATGAAATTTTAAGGCCTATGGGGCAGCAGGAAGGTCCGGCCTCTGGTGGACTGAACTGAACCTACAAAGGCATATTTATTGATTGTTACACAAAGTTGTTTTTTTCTGGCGAAGTATTCCCTCTAAAGGAAAGCATCACATGCCCTCCTGACTCGAATCCTTTACAGTGAACCATTTGCAGTGCCCAATGATCTTAGAGCCCCACGTGTGCCCACGGCGTCTTGTGAACAAAGGCCTGCAAAGGCTTAACAGTCACTGTTTCCCACAGAGATTCTTCAAGGTCAAAGTACTTGTAGAAAGCAACTGTTCATAATGTTTACCCTGGCTACACTAACTCCGGTAGAGTCATGCAACAGCGTAGAAAGTTGCCTGGCACATATGGGTGTTGTGTTACATAAGTATTGGCATATTATAAGGGCCATGATAGCATTTTTCGGCATTGCCAGCATCATTACTGTCTGACACTGATTTCTTTTTGTTCAGACTCTTGATTCTTCCTCCATCATGCCCACTGTGTCTGTTCCTTCATCTCTTCTAACAGGGGCATCACAGCATGAGTCATCGCATCAAATTTGTGTGAAAGCTGCATTTCCAAATGATGTACCAAAAGAAGTCACTAATCGTGGTTCATACTGTTCCATTATAGAGGAACTGGGGCAGGATGGTGACCCCACAAAGACAGATCAGCAAAACCAGACCCCACTCTTGAGTTCTGGTGCTTTCTTTAACCAGAAAACACTGCAAAGTGACAATAGTGAAGAGTGTGAAGCTACTACAGAACCCATTCCTTTAGGCCTCCACCTCGTTTCTACCCAAAAGAGATTTCCAAACTGTTGCTTAGTTGAAAACACTTTGCAGCCTAACTCTAACCTTCAAGCAAACAGTGAACATCAAAACAATTCCACAAGGAAGCCTAATGGCATCGTTGGGTCCTGTCAGTTCCTCACGCAAGGCCCTTCTAATGCTGTGTGTGCAATTCCTAACAGGGAAGAGAAAGCATTCAAAGATAAAGAGTCTGAGAAAGTTCTCAGCCCTAAGCAACCACTTCTGCCGCATGAAATTCTTCCTCAGGACCAGCCAGTGGAATATACCACTGCTTTGTGTCAGCAGCAAATCACTGACACTATGGAGACACCTTTTATTTGTCACATATGTGGAAAATCCTTCCTTCAGAAATCTCAGTTGACTTCTCATCCAGGAATAAACAGAGGAGAGACACCTTCTGCGTGTCCTGACTGTCTGAAGTCACTTACAGGTCCGTCCAGCCTGCAGGTGCGACATGAAATCCCCACAAAGGAGAAGCCTTACAGATGCCACGACTGTGGGAAGTCGTTCAGCTACGCATCCCACCTGAAGGTGCATCTTCGAATCCACACAGGCGAGAGGCCTTACGTGTGTTCTGACTGCGGGAAGGCCTTCAGCCAGAAGTCAGTCCTCACCACACACCAGAGAATTCACACCGGGGAGAAGCCTTACACTTGTAGCCACTGTGGGAAATTGTTTGTTTATGCATCAGATCTGAAGAAGCATCATCGCTTTCACACAGGGGAGAAGCCTTACGAGTGCCCTGACTGTGGGAAATTGTTCAGCACTAAATCCCACCTGCCTGTGCATCATCGAATCCACACCGGTGAGAAACCTTACAAGTGCTGTGACTGTGGGAAGTCGTTCCGAAGAAAATCCCATCTTAAAGTCCATAGTCGAGTGCACACTGGTGAGAAGCCTTACGTGTGCTCTGAGTGTGGGAAGGCCTTCAGCCATAGTTCAGTTCTCAGCACACATCAGAGAATTCACACTGGGGAGAGGCCTTACACATGTAGTGACTGCGGGAAAGCCATGTCATCTAAGGCCCAACTGAATGAGCATCAGCGAATCCACACGGGTGAGAAACCGTATGTGTGCGTCGAATGTGGGAAGGCCTTCAATAGCAGGTCGTCTTTACAAGTGCATCGTAGAACTCATAGTGGGGAGAAACCTTTTGTCTGTCACAGATGTGGGAAGGGGTTCCTGCGCAAGTCACAGCTGTCATGTCACCTGCAAACTCACACTGCTGAGAACCCTTAGGAGTGCTGGCACTTACCAGCTGAAGGGCCATCATCAAGTTGAAATGGCAGAACATGCTGCTGGTACTTGACTAGGAAAGTTTTCAGCAACTGAGGGCTCGTTTGTTTCGTTCTTGCGGAGAGACCTGAGGTGGGTTTTGAGTGGCTAAAGTCCTTCAAACACGAGTCAGATTTCACAGGGACTCATACCTCACCATGTTCCTCCTTAACAGACACTGTGTTCGTATGGAAGGCTTTACCACAAAGTCTGTTCCTTACCATTTTTTTTTTAACTTTCTTTTTATTTATCCTTTGTAGACATAATATTCTCTTCTGGAACCAACAGCTCACAAAGAATGACACAGAGACTTATTACTTATGAAAACTCAGCTGATAGCTTAGGCTTGTTTCTAATTGACTCATAACTTAACCCATTTTTATAATTTACTTTCTGCCTTGTGGCTTTATTACCTCATCTCATAATGCCTATTCTGCTAGCTCTGCACCTAGCTGGTGACTCTGCCCTTCCCAGCCTCCTCTGTGCCTGGAAATCCTGTCTAGCTATTGGCCATTCAGCTTTTTATTAAACCAATCACAGTGTAAAGGAATATTCCACAACAATTTTGTGTCTTTCACATCATTTGTCTTGATATCCTATTCATTTCCTGTCCCTTTGTATCCACCCTCTGCCCTTGCAAACCCCCCCCCCCCCATAAAATAAAATTGAAGAGAAAAAGAAAAAAAAGCCAATCTTGTCATGGAAGCTGTAGTGGGACAGTAAGCCCTTTTGTCATATATCTTTACTTAAAAGCATTCATGGCGAGGAGTCCATTGGTCTAGTTCAAAGCTTCTGGTTTCTGCTACACTATAGATGCTGGCTCTTAGCTGGGACAGCTCTTAGATGTCCTGCTGCCCTGTGTCAAAACGGAGATCCTATGGCTTGTGGTCTTTTTTTTTTTTTTTTTAATTATTGAATAGCTTTTCTTATTTTACATATCAGTCCCAGTTCTCCCTCCCATCCTCCCATGCCCCCCCACCAGCCTCCCCATCCCATCCCCCATCCACTCCCCAGGGAGGGTGAGGCCTTCCATGAGGGATCATCAAAATCTATCAAGTCATTTGGGGTAGGGCCTAGGCCCTCCCCCTTGTCTGTAGGCTAAGGGAGTATCCCTCCATGGGGAATGGGCTCCCAAAGTCCATTTGTGCACTAGGGATACATCCTGGTTTCATTGCCAGAGGTTCCGTAGATTTCCCAATCCTCCTAGCTGACACCCATGTTCATAGGACCTGGTTTAGTCCTATGTTGGTTCCCCAGCTGTCAGACTAGGGTTTATGAGTTCCTCCATGTTCAGATCAGCTGTTTCTGTGTGTTTTCCCAGCATGGTCTTGACCCCTTTGTTCATCATTCCTCCCTCTCTGAAACTGGATTCCAGGAGTTTGGCACAGTCTTAGCTGTGATCTCTGCATCTGCTTCCATCAGTTACTGGATGGAGGCTCTAGGATGGCATTTAAGGTAGCCTGTACACTACTGATTAGATTCCTAGTTGGGGTCATCCTGGTATATCTTTGGGCATTTCTCTACTGCCAGATTTCTCTTTAAACCTATAATGGATCCCTCTATTGATGTCTCTTTTCTTGCTTTCCTCTATTCATCTCCCCATTTAATGTTTATGAGCCCTCATGTTCTCCTCCCCCCTCTTCTTCTCCCCTTTCTCCTCCCTCCCTACCCCTTTCCCCCATGCTCCCAATTTGTTCAGGGACTCTTGTCCCTTTCCCCTTCACTGGGGGACCATGTATGTCTCTCTTAGGGTCCTCCTTGTTTCCTAGCTTCTTTGGAGGAATGGATTGTATTCTGGTAAACCTATGCTCTCTATATAATATCCAAATATGAGTGAGTACATACCATGTTTGTCTTTCTGTGACTGGGTTACCTAACTCAGGATGGTTTCTCTAGTTCCATCCATTTTCCTGCAAATTTTAAGATTCCATTGGTTTTGTTTGTTTTTGGTTTTTGTTTCCGATGAGTAGTACTCCTTGTGTAAAGTACCACATTTTCTCCATCCATTCTTCAGTTGAGGGACATTTAGGTTCCTTCCAGGTTCTGGCTATTACAAATAATGCTGCTATGAACATAGTTGAACAGATGTCCTTTTGTATCAATGCGCATCCATTGGGTATGTGCCTAAGAGTGGAATTGCTGGATCTTGAGGTAGACTGGTTCTCATTTTCCTGAGGAACTGCCATACTGATTTCCAAAGTGACTGTACAAGTTTGCACTCCCACCAGCGATGGAGAGTGTTCCCCTTTCTCCACATGCTCTCTAGCATCAGCTGTCATTGGTGTTTTTCATTTTAGCCATTCTGACGGGTGTAAGTTATCCACAGAATTTCTATCTGAATTGAAGCACTCTGTCTTAGAGGGAGGCTTAGTAGTCACAAACATTTTCTGTTCTTCCAGAGGACTTGAATTTGATTCCCAGAATTCTGCATCACAAATATCTGTTAAGTCAAGCTCAGGAGGATCCATACCATACCAAACCTCTGGCCTCTATGGGCATCTGCACTCATGGGTGCATACCCACACCAGTGCATGTAATTCAAAGAAATACAAATTTAAAAGATGCCAGAGGCAAACAACCTACAAGTCTCAGGAAGTTACTAAAACAAGATTTGTAAGAGCCTCTCAAGGTTATAAAGTAGTAATTACTTCTGGGCATGAAAAAGTCTCTGATCATAAAGCTGCCTGCAAGTTGTACAGGGAGCTCCAGGGATGCAGTCATCACCCATGCTGGGATGAACTTCTGTGAATGCAGCTGCTTTTGAGTTGTACCAGCCATTCAAAAGACCCTCTCATTCATACTCCAGTGATCCCGTTAACTCATTGGTTCACTGATTGGACTTAGGTGAAACCATCACTGTGGCCTCTCATCAGTGCCCTATATGGGGTAAATAGACATTGTTCACGGTTCAGGAAGTTAACACAGCCCAGCACTTCTCTGGAGATCACTCACGACTTGTTTATGTTGTATGAGTACTTATGTGCATGTATGTATATGCACAAAGGCCGGAAGAGGGCATCGGATTTGGAACTGGGATTACAGCTGAGAGCCACCATGTGGAGAACGGGAACCAAACTCGGGTCCTCTGCAAGCACGTCAAGTTTCACTCACCACCCAGCTTTTTAAATTGGGTTCTTTCTTTTCTTGATTTTTGTTGCTGTTTGTATGTTCTGTATTCATTGATCGACCTGTCTGATTCCACGCCAATGCCATGCTGTTTTTATGACAACCTGAAGTCTGGGATGGTGATACCTCCAGCAATTCCTTTATTATTCAAGATCATTAGCTATCCTGTTTTTGGTTTGTTTGTTTTTCCCCGTGTTACCATATGAAGTTTAAGATTATTTTTCAGTTTTTGTGGAAAATTGTATTGAATCTGTAGATTCCTTGTGATAGGATGGCCATTTTCACAATATTACTCTTACTGATCCATGAACATGGGCGATCTTTCCATCTTCCAATATCTTACTTCTTTTTTCAATGCCTTCAAGTTTCACCTAGTGTTCTTGGGCAGAAGGCGGGTGGGGGGGTGGTTGGGGTGGGGGGAGGGTGAAGCATGTGTCACGTGAGCAGCGGCCGCAGTGCAGTGAGGACACTGGTTTGTGTTGAGTGACAGCTGAGGCAGCTGCAGGGGATGCCCTGGTTGAGCTGGGGTTGCAGTCAGGAGAGCAGGGTTGCAGTGGGCTGCGATGTAGCAGCCTCAATGCTTTCTAGCCTGGGAGTGTGATTGGAGACCCAGCCGTGAGTCCTGGCTCTACGACAAACACTGGCCCTCAGGAAGAGGAAAATAGCATAAAAAAGATAAAAATGGGAAAGTAATTTATTCACAGTTTGGGCCAGAACTGAGAAGACAACCGTTCTCAATTTTTTGTTTATGCTTTTTTTTTTCCATTCCAGAGGTAAAACTATTCCAGAGAGATAGAACAAAAGGCAGGACATAGCTACGTGTACATTTGCCTGTGGACTCCAGTCAGAGCTGGGTCTGCTTTTGTGCAAGTGTCAGGGCTTTCCAATCCCAGAATGCTATTTCCTGTAGGACACTGGAGCACAAAATACTAGATTTAAAAATAATAAATAAATAAACCTTAGACCCTAATTGTATCCATAGGATGGGTGTGTGTGTGTGTGTGTGTGTGTGTGTGTGTGTGTGTGTGTGTGTATAGGCCAGTGCTGTCTTCTCCTTCTGACACTATGGACATGGTGTCTGTGATTGACAGATGACTAAAAATGATGCTGTTTCCATATTGGGATGTTATTTGAGCCATGTTTGGAATTGAGTCTCAGGAAACCAGTAAATTAGATTCTTTGGGAAATGTCTGTTGACATTTTCAGGAGCCTAAGATACCTCAGTGCCTGGAAAGTAAAACTATAGCTTTATGGTGCTCAGAGGATACTGCACATTATTGGTATCAGTGACCACATTCTGTTGTAGTAGAGGCCACTCCTTATCGACAGGCATGAAGCCGTCTACGAATAGAGGTCCTGGTGCACACACATACAGGGGTTGCAAACCACACAAGAGATCGAGTCTGTGGATTTAAGTGATATGTCAGAAAAGAATAGGCTAGAAACAGAATAGGAGTCAGAAATGGCCATTGGCCCCCTGAGCTCTCAGTCAGGAGGAATGACAGCACACTGTCCCCTGTGTGCTGACCACATGAGACAGTGGGGATGGTGTGTCATGGGAGACTGATCCCTGCCTGCTCTTCTACAGGGTAAATTAAGGAATAGCATCCATCCTCAATACTAAAGTGTAAGACTGAAATGCTGTGTGGAATTTAAATAAAAATCAAGTTGGCAGCTTGCTGGTTTCGATGTGTATTTGCCATGTGCCAAGCAGGTGCCTGGTCTTGAGCCTTACTTATCCTTCGTCAGATTCCTGCCCAGTGCCAGCGACCATCCATCACCTCACTTCGCAACAGCAGTAACCAAGTCAGACTCTGATGACAAGAGTAGGGACTTTCTCTGCCAAGTCTGCCAGGTGGCCTTCACCCGGATCCTGAAAGTTCAGCATTGGATCAATGGTCAGTTGATCGCTGACTTTCTGGAACTTCCCAGGCTATCTGCAGACCCACAGTCAAGCGAATCGTCCAGACTGCAGTGCTCAGGTGATACCACAGCTGGCCTCTGCCCAGCAGCTCCGCTTAGAGCCTCCAGGGGAACGCCCAGCTTCTAGCTTTTGTGGAAATCAGATCTCCTAGCAAAAGTTTGCCAAGAGTAGAAACCGGTGAAGACATGCCTGTTGATAGGAAATCATCCCAAGGACCCCAGGGGCTGGCAGCACAGGAGCGGAACCTGCCCCAGGTTCAGATGTCCAGAGCTAGAGACAGACGCGGAGGCAGCAGGTCCTGGGCTCCCAGTTTCTGAAGTGGTTTAGTTATCTTTTCAGACACGCTGACTGTGTCCGGTGAGGTGACTTCCTGTAGAGTCCGTTTTTCTGCACCCCGGCTGAAGAAGGCAACTACAGAACAAGGGAATTTTCCCATTCAAATGCAGCTTGGTAAACCAGTGAGTTTATTGTGGTTTCTTAAGCGGCATTAGCAACCTGGGCAGCTGTTTCA